CAGATAGATTAGTTTATTTTAGTTAATTTCATAGCGTAATGTCTTATGGAATTTTGCTATAGAGTAACGTGACTGACATTGAAACCATATTTGTTTTGCAAAATAGTGTCGTCCGGGCGATTTATAACTTAAATTGTAAAGAGTCCCTCAGAGAGCAATTTGAATAATAGATATTTATGAAAATGTAATGTACCTATATTTACATAAAAACATGAACAGCTTTGTTAAAAATAAAGATGTTCATACTTTTAGTACTAGGTAGAAACATAAGCTTGTAATGTCAGTTACTAGCCTCCACAGAATGGGTAATTCATTTGTAGGGCAATGACTGGGCAGGTTTTTACAACAAAATCCCAAAAAATGTTCAAAGTTTGTCCATAAACAAGTTTAAGTTTATTAAAGAAAAATTGTAAAAAAAAAGGGGGTTATTATAATATTTAGGAATACATGAATGAAAATAACCCTTGGGAATGAAGTGATCGCCACTATGCTGGTTCTATTAAAATTATATTCATGTCAAAAAAGCAAATTCTCACCTATAAGGCAATTTATTGGGGAGTCTTATCTTCAGCTATAGATCTTTGATAGTTGTTAATTAATGGATAAATAAATGAATGACAATGAATATACTTATCCATATATAATATAAATAGGTACAATCAGACACTATACAAATAGCTTTCTGAGCCTTTTTTATAAGATAAGGTGACAAAAGAGCACACATTCCACCTGATAGACATAGACATAGACAACTACATCTATCCTCAATAAAGAATCAAAATGCATATGCGTTGTCACCCGTGAGGACTAAGATAGAATGCCTCTTTTCCAGTAAAAGGGGTCTCCAGTTCTCTACACACACCATACGAAACACAGCAATGCTAAGCTACTATTTTACGCTGGTATTCTGTGAGAGCTTAACAAAATTGGCTAAAAGGTATGCAGCACTGTAACATAACAAGACATTAATATAATATGGGTTCATTAATAGTATAAACATATAGAATAGAAGAGCATAAAAGGACGAGGATTTTTTAAAAATAGAATAAGGGTAACAAAAAAGCACGCAGTTCACCTGATGGGAAGTGGATGTTGTAGTCCATAGACATTACTGCTAATATGGTTACCGCACAGCTATACTACGTATACCTTAATAACTTTAGCCCAAATTCATTTCTTCTTTCGTAAAGCCACGCGGCAGCTTTGTAATGGTTGTAGCACGATTAGGTCGGCTCGACCGGGATAGAACAACGCTCTCACAGAATACTAGTGTAAAATAACAGCTTCAGCTCAGGGTGACAGGGGTGCATTTTGATTCTTAATTGAGATAAATGTAAATGTCTATGGGCCACAATATCCACTTCCCATCAGGTAGACTGTGAGCTCGTTTGTTACCCTTATTCTATTTTTAAAAAATCCTCGTGCTTTTATGTTCTTCTATGCTATATGTTAATACTCTTAAAGAACCCATATTATATTAATATCTTGTTATGTTACAGAGCTTCATACTTTTTAGCCAATTTTGTTAATCTTTCAATTTCATCTAGGTTTGGTTTTTATTTTTCTGACTAGGTGAATACCGACAAAGCAAAAAAATTTACACAAATTTCTTAAGAGATCCCTTTTGTTGGTAACGAGATAGTCTATAACAGTTCTCAGCTTTCACAACGCATCTTTTAGAAGAGGGTGCAAACGACTATACAGCTCACCTGGTGGTGAGCTGTATAGTCCGCCTATACCAACGTCTATGAACAACTGCAACACCATGGGAATCGCAAATGCGTTGTCGGCCTTTTAAAAAGAGTAGACATTTTTCATAAAGGTCCCTAAGTCGTATTGGTCCGCAAAAATCTTGATTCTTAATCAAGGCATTCGCATTTTAATTCTTAATATCTTAGTCGAGTATAGATGTAGATTTCTACCGGCCACAGAATCCACAAGTGGACTGTGTGCTCACTTGTTTCTAGAAATAAGTCAACTTCGTAACTGTCATGTATGCCAACGATGGTAATATTACCTCCTTATATATATGAAATTACCGTTTTGTCGTACTGACCACTTTGATCTGAAATATCTCCTATTTGGTTAAGAATTAAAAATTTAAAAAAAAATTCAAATTTATAAATTTATTTAGCTGGTACATTTGCATTTTGAAAACAGTCATTCATTTGTTTCTTCCTCATTATTTTTTCTATAGCGTCGCTTATTACCGCACAATGGAAAACATGAAATATCAGTATATTTACGAGTACGAGTTCTACCATGACACCAGTGCTGCAGAAACAGCTCGGAAGGATTAACGATCTGTACGGCGCTGGTGTCGCAAAAGAAAGCACGATACGTTTTTGGTTACAACGTTTTCGTTCTGGAAATTTCGACCTTCAGAACCAACCCCGTGGACGGCTGGAGACCAAAGTGAAAAATGAAGAATTAAAGGCTATTGTGGAAGCGGATCCATCACAAAGCACTTCAGAGATAGCTGCAGGCTTCGGGGTAAGTGTATAAACTGTATTAATCCACTTGAAACAAATCGGGAAAGTAAAAAAAATTGAACGATGGGTACCTCATGAATTGCTGTGTTACTTTGCTCAATCGACACAACAATGAAGGGATTTAAATCGAATCATTACTTGTGATGAAAAGTGGATACTGTACGATAATCGGAAGTGCTCGTCGTAATGGCTGAACCCTGGAGACCCAGCCAAATCATGCCCTGAACGGAAATTGACTCAGAAAAATTTACTTTTGAGTGTTTGGTGGACTAGCGCCGGTGTCGTTCACTACAGCTTTCTAAAATCTGGCCAAACGATTACGGCAGATATCTATTGTCAGCAACTGCTGTTAGCTAAGAACTAGCTGTTAAACAACCGAGATTGGTCAATCGCTCTAGGCCACTGCTGCTTCACGACAACGCAAGACCACACACTACACAACAAACAACTACTAAGTTAGATGAGCTACAATTGGAATGTCTTCGACATCCACCGTACTCCCCGGACCTTGCCCTAACAGATTATCATTTTTTCCGGAATTTGCACAACTTCTTACAAGGAAAAAAATTCAACTCCGATACGGCAGTCCAAACCGCCTTCAAAGAGTTTATTGATTCTCGCCCCCATGGTTTTTTTAGTAAAGGGATCAATGAACTACCTATGAGATGGCAAAAGTGCATAGATTACAACGATGCATACTTTGATTAATTAAATATATTTTACAAAAAAAATTGACTTTATATTCCTCCCGTACAAAACACCAATTTCATATGTTAGGACCTAATATTTAAAAAAACAATTAGCTGCACCACTACACTAGGCAGCTTGGTTGACTCAATACCGATATCCTCGTCATATCCTTCATCACCATTAGTAAATGACATCACACAATGCTACTGATGCCGTAATATTACTTTATTATAATTTAAATATTTTCATAATTCAGATTTATAAGAACAATTTCATTATACTAATTAGAATCAAGACACTGCTAATTGTTCACCTTATCTACCTTGACCGTAGTTTCCCAAAAAAGTAGTTGTAAAAAATAAAATAATAATTATATATTATCTATAAAAATAAATAAAAGTGTCTGTTTGTAATGTCAAAATAACAGCTTTTTACTAATTGCATATGAAAGTATATACGGTACCTAAACAAAAACACAATTTTTTAAATTTTTGTCTGTCTGTCTGTCTGTCTGTTCCGGCTAATCCCCAAAACGGCTGGACCGATTTTGACGGGACTTTCACAGGTAGATTTTTTTTTATAGGAAAAGGGTGACATTATAGCTGATATTATAAGGAGTAACTTAGGCTACTTATATTTTAGAAAAATAATTAGGGTTCCGCGCAACAAAATTAAAACCCTAAATTACACGCGGGCAAAGTCGCGGGGAACAGTTAGTCTATAATAAGTTAGAAAACACACTAACTAGATTATGTATTAGTTACTGCACCTTATAAGAATTTTGCATCTGATATGCTACTCCCCGTCGCCAATCTGTTTTTTTTTGTTTATGGTATTTATCGTAATAGTTATTGCAGAATCGTTGGGGAAACATGGGTTAGTGCCGTTTATATAGGCTCGCAAATTCTTTAATAATAACATTGAAATACGTCAAAGAAATATTCAAAATATTCAGCAATATTAGAACAATTCTCGTGATTACATTATTTTAAATTATGTTATTAACTATGTAACTAATATTTTATAACACTTCTCGTTTTGACAATAAAAGTGGTTAAACTGCGGGTATGACATTTTAAATAACTCAATGCTCATATGAGTCACGCACCCCGGCATTGATTGTTTCAGTAAAATTGTCGTATTAAAGTGACATTGACATTCATTTCACCGATTTCTGAGCCGATCAAAGATAAACCCTATTCGACTAAAACATATGAAGCTTTTAATAGAACATAATATCTTATAGTATAAACAGGACTATCAAATCTAATTGAAAAAGGTAGCCTGCTAAATTTACTTTTTTCAATTAAAGTAATATTTATTAAATAAAAAATATTAATAATGCTAGAAATAATTATTCCCTTCTAAAATTATGATCCTATAGATATTACAAAAAATGTTATTCCCAGACTGAATAATTAAGAATCGTCACTTCTCAGTTCCATGTATCACAGTATGAACAGATTAACTATATAATTTCATTTTGTAACTGTATTGTATCCATCAGCCATGCACAGCAGGATTTTTTAATCTTTAAGAATCTAACATTGTAAACATGTTATTAACAGTAACGATTTTTTTGATACTTTACTACTCGTAATTAACAACTAAACGCTGAACAGCTAAAATTTTTTACAGCACTAAACAAAAAACAGACATCATATTCACACTTCCCGTTCCTTAATTTTCAAGACCTTATGTATAAGGTCATTCGAATATTATAAAACAGAACTGAGGCTTACAAAAGAAAACAAACCTTAGTCGACCTTAACTGACATCAGTATCAATATTAAGATCCGTAGCCAAAGTAAAAGAATAATGAAGAAAGTCATATTTTTCATTCTCTGCCTACAAGAAGTATGTCGCGCAAGTCTGTTACGTCAAAAAACACTTTTGACATATTCGCTCCCAGAAAACAGACATCTTAAAAGGGCATTGGGTTATACCGAAGACACGTATCTCAACTTTACTGAATTAGCCACTAAATACAGATATTCATCAGAAGAGCATACGGTGATTACCGAAGATGGGTACGTCTTGAAAGTATTTAGAATTTTATCTAAATGCAAATCATTTTCCGCAAGCTTACCCATTATATTGATGCATGGACTATATGACAGTTCTGACTTGTGGATATTGAGCGGTCCGCAAACTGGCTTGGGGTACATCCTCGCAAACAATTGTTACGATGTATGGGTGCCAAATCACAGAGGTAACTGGTATTCACGGAAACATTTGACATTAGATCCCAATAAAGATATCGAGTTCTGGAATTTCTCTTTTGACGAACATGGTTATTTCGACATTCCCGCTATTATAGACTATGTTACTGAAGTAACTAATAAGTCAAAATTATTTTACGTGGGGCACTCCCAAGGTACGACTGATTATTTCGTCGCAATGTCTTTACGACCTGAATACAACAATAAGATTCAACTGTCCTTTCATCTTGCTCCAATCGCTTGGATGAAAAATATTATCAGTCCCATTCCAAAATCCATTGCTGAAATAACAAACGAGATTAAAGTTATTTTAGATTTCTTGGGTATTGGTGAAGTATTCGCAAGGCGTCAACTGTCGCATATAATTTTAGAATTTTTCTGTCAATATGTCCCACAACTAGTTTGCGGGACAGGGTTGGCCATCACCACTGGCTTTTTAAAAGGTTCAGTGTCTTCAAGAATTCTAGCTGTGGCATTTGGTCATTTGTTCGCTGGTTCATCGGGCAAAACATTTGCACATTTTGGACAACTAATACAATCGAAGAATTTTCAACGTTATGACGAAGGTAAAATAGGTAACCTAAAAAAATATGGAATGGAGATGCCACCACAATATAATATTTCCAAAATTGTATCTCCAGTTATCCTAATATGCGGTCAAAATGACTGGGTATCATCTTTGAGAGATGTGGATGAACTAAGTTCTAGGCTAGGAAATTTAATAGAAACATATGTTGTACCAAAACCGACCTGGAGCCATAACAATTATCTTTGGGATTTAGAAGCACCTAAACTAGTATTTAAGAAAATACTTGACTATCTAAGGCGATCTGGTACGTAATTATTTGTGAAATTGTGACTCCAAGTAATAATGAAAACCATTTGAACCAAATATAATTTATTTCCCTAACATTTTTTGTATATAATTTTACTCATAATTTATTTTTAAATTGTCTTATATATTATTAGTTATATAGAATTATAGAACTAAGCATAACTTTGTCAAAAATCGACAATAAATTCTCAATATCTTTGTTGTTTTAATTTAGTAACATAATCTGTTAGCCCTAAGTTTTAACATATTAAGGATAAAAAGAACTAACACCACCAAGGGCAACGATTCAATTTACCGTTTACCTGATGACAAACAAATACAAACAAATTATGCCACGGGTGCGTTCTTATCACTAAGATAGAATGATCTGATCTGTCCAACTACAGGCCACCACTATGGCCTCCCTGTTCTCGAAAATAATGGAGTCTATTATTAACTGCCAGTTCATGCGGTACCTTGAGGAGCACCAGCTGGTTAGTGACCGCCAATACGGTTTCCGTCGCTCGTGATCTTCTTCGCTCAGCTGGTGATCTTCTTGTTTACCTAACACACTGATGAGCGCTAGAGATCTAGTCCAATGGGTAGACTTTGGCGGTTAGTTTAGACATAGCGAATGCCTTCGATCGGGTCTGGCACAAAGTGCTTCCTTTTATTTCCTTCCTATGGGCTTCTCGAGAAATTGCGCAATCGAATCACCAGTTTTCTGGCTGATCAGAGCATCAAGTTCGTAGTAGATGGTGTATGCTCCGATTACAAGCCTATTAACGCTGGTGTTCCACAAGTCTGTGTGCTATCACCAACGCTGTTTCTTCTGCATACTAATGATATACTGCAAACTGGTAACATTCATTGCTATATGTTTTATACACCGGCCGTTCAAATATTGCACGAAAAAACGTACCGAAACAAACTTGTGTCTAAAAAGTTTGTTGAACAAGTCTCGGATTGGGAGCGATTAAATCTAGTCCAGTTCAATCCCTAGAAGACAAAAGTTTGCGTGTTTACCGCTAAAAATAACCCCTTTGTCGTGTCTCTTCAGTTTCAGGGCACTCCCCGTGTTGCTTTAGCCAGTATCGGAATCCTCGGCGTCGACTTTTCGAATGACGTAAAGGTAACTTGGAAGAGAAGGCCAAATTGGCCTCTAAAAAGCTTGGCGTTCTCAGTAGAGCAGGACAGTATTTCATGCCGGCACACCGCCTGCAACTTTACAAGGCGCAGGTTCCGCCATACATTTAATACTGTTCCCATCTCTGGGCCGAGACTCCCCAGTGCCAAATCTTTCCATTTGACCGCATCCAGCGCAGAGCAATTTTAAATCGTCGGCGACCGAGCTCTTTTTGATCAGCTTGACTCACTGGCGCTGCGAAGAGATGTTGCATCTCTTTGTGTATTGTATCGTATCTACTACAGAGAGTACTCAGGGGAATTGTTCGGACTAATTCCAGCTGCTCAATTTCACCATCGCACATCGCGACAGAACTCGAAATACCATTTGTACCATCTGGTTGATTGGCAGTCCACTACTGTGCGATTTTTTTTATAATCTACTAAGCCAGCGCTTATCTACAATCACACCTGATGGTAATTGGTGATGTAGCCTAAGATGGTGAAGCGCACTGACTTAACAAAAGCTTATTCACTCTTGCCTAGAAGACACCCACACCCGGGTGTAATCGGATGGAAAGACAGATGCTGAAAACTTATTCCACTCTTTTGCTGTACGCATGATGAACGACGTAGCGAATCGTTTGGTTCGAATGCGTGGTAAGTCAACAACGAAAGGATGGAGACTGGTCAAATGTCTGGTTGTCCGATGGTGGAAGAGAGAGGGAGGAATTAAATTATGCAATTCCTGCGCACATTCTTCGAAATGCATCCTGTAGAAAAACGAAAGGCTGGCTACTTTGCGTCTGTGTTCGAGACTGATAAGATTGGTTTTAACTAAATTCGGATCACAAATAAGTCTCTTAGCACGCCTTTCCATTGAGTCCAAAGCTGCTAGGTGGCATTTGTAGCACCAGCCCATATATGGCAGCAATACTCCATGCACGACCGGACTTGCGCTTTATATAAAGTAAGTAGGTGTCCCGGCCTGAAGTATCGGCACTCATATCTCTCCACAACTGTGCTATTACGATAGCATAGTTTGATAACACAGCATACCCATAGATACCGGGCATGAGGAACCTGAGGAACACCGACGTTAGTCGCCATAGGATCGGATGAGCTGCCATCGACGACGACCCGGAGAGTACGTTCACTCAGAATGTCCTTTACCCATTCAATCAGACCAGGGGATAAGCCGTACGCTAGAAGCTTACCCAAAAGGCTAGTGTGCCAAATTCTGTCAAAGGCCTTCGAGACATCAAGGGAAACAGCAAGTGTTTCCCCACTGTTCTCTAGTGTCTCGCCGCATACGTGTGTGGTATACGCTAGAAGGTCCGTCCAGCTGAATGATTTCGGCGAAACCCATATTGCCGGTCACTAAGGAGGTCATTCTGTTCTATGTATGCCATTAAGCGGGCGTTCAATATACGCTCCATAATCTTGCAGAGTATGGTAAGCAAAGAGAGACGTGAACATTTGATTAGAGTATACTATATCTGAGCTTGAAAAAGTTGAAAATATAATCATTATAGGAGACATCAACATAGATATAAAGTTAAACACAGATGATAAGCATGCAGCTTCTTATTTGAACTTGACTGCTGAACTGGAATTGCTTCCAACTAATTTTTTACCAACACGTAATAATAATTGCCTTGACCATATTGTTCTAAAAACAAAGCGAACATCTAAAGTTTTTGTCCTCAACTCGTATATAACTGATCATAAACCTATTCTCTTAGCTATTTATAACAAACTTCCTATTGATAAGTCCCAGAAAGTATCATTCAAAACCGATTGGAAGTGTGTTACTGCTTGTATCAGTCAATTTGATTTCTCACAAATAGTTTCTTGCGTTGATCCTAACTTGTCTGCAAAGCTATTCATAACAAGTATACCAAAAATCATAGCTGATAAAATACACAATAACAGCGTTTCCAGTCGTAAAAGGGTTCTAAAATCATAGATTACTCCGGGTGTAAAATGTATTCAGACCAGAGACAAAATTATCTTTTAAAATTGTACGCGTCCCCTCTAGAATCAATAGAAGAAGTTAATGTTTTCTTTGCTACTATCGGTAGTCAGCTTGTATCTGAAATCCAATCAATTAGTTCGGACGACGATACTGATTATCAACATCTTCGTCCATTACACTCGTTTGCACTTCTACCAACCAATGATACTGAAGTGGCCTCTATTATTCGAAACCTGAAAAATAATTCCGCCCGTGGTTGGGATAATATTTCCACAAAATTGCTTAAAATTACAAAAAATGTGATCGTCCCGCCTCAAACAAAAACATTTAACTTAGCGATGGATACTGGAGTTTTTCCCAATGTTTTTAAAATCTCGACCATTCATCCTATTCACAAAGGGGGAAACAAAAATTATATTAACAATTACCGACCGATTTCAATTTTACCGGTAGTATCGAAAGTATTTGAGAGGATAATGTGCAATAGACTTATTATATATTTGGAAAAGAATAATTTATTATATGAATAAATCCCAATATGGATTTAGGGCTGGCAGATCGACGGAAGATACTGTGTCTAATTTAAATAATTACGTCGTGAAACATCTAGATGGTAAACGCAAAAGTTTTGGGTATCTTCCTAGACCTTAAAAAAGCTTTTGATACCGTTTCCATACCCAAGCTGATAAATAAAATGGAAAACATATGGATAAGGGGTAAGGCTTTAGATCTTTTAGACTACTTACACAATAGGATTGAAAGGGTTAAAATTGATAATTACTATAGTTCTGGCGTCTCGATAACATTTGATATTCCGCAGGGCAGTGTCTTGAGTCCAAGTCTCTTTTTGATCTACATCAACGATCTATGTCAGTTAAATCTTGATAATAATTAGAATTTAGAAAAGTGTTCGCTTTTGCTATTGACACAGCATTAGTTTTTCACGGAGAGACTTGCGATGAGGTACGAAAGACTGTGGAGATAGAATTTTGTCAGGTGATTCGATGGCTTAGACAAAATCTTTTGACAATCAATGTTCAAAAAACTAAATTCCTTCCCTTTTCAATAAGAGGAGACTCAATACTTAATAGTATTAATTTTATCAGGGCTCATGAATGTGGAAATAACAATAATAACACAAGTTCATGTATCTCTATTGAAAAAGTATCTATATGTCGGAGAGTCTATAAAATACCCGGTTGGATTGAGGTGCAATGGAGGGTATATCGAGAAACTCCCACTTGTTTGTGCAGTATAAAGTTCACTGTAGTTGCCGTGCGCGGGAGATTCCACTTAAGTCATTCAATGAGTGTGGTCGTTCTACTAGTGCTAAGATAGTGTCGTGGTTCTGTTCGTTGTTGTAATTCTTCTAGTGCAGGCAAGGAGAATTGGTGTTGCTGAGAGGCTATCCTGTGTTACATTTGAGATAAATAGTGTTGCTGTCGGTTTACATATTTTGGTGTTATCATGTAATTACGTACCTCACGTTACACTGGTGTGTAATTGTGGCGGAGACGTGTTACGGTGTGGTCGAACTGTAATTTCACTATACTGAATGTATAGTGCGTTACGTTGTCTTATTACTGATAATGATTAATTGCGTAAGCACGAGAGCAAGTTGAACATCCGCTCTCACACTTTTTATTTTTAACAGTTAACGCTATCCTGAAGTATTTCCGAGATCAAAATTGGGATCTCCTGTTGAATTCTCCGTCATCAGAAGTGGGATCTCCTGTTGTCATTTCCGATATATATTTAAATACTTGGGTAATTATCTGGACTCGAAACTCAACTGGTAATATCATACAATACAGTATAATACAGTATCAGAAAATTAGTTTGGGTTTTTAATAAATTACGATGGATTTCAGATATAACTCTTTTAAAAACAGCATACTTTACCTTATGCCAATCTATATTCACT